CGTGTGCTCTTCCGATCTCCCCAAAACCCCAAAACCCCGGAAGCTCATTATAAATGAATAAATGGAGATAAATTATTTAATTGAAACCACAATACTATTTTAAAATTAAATCTCAATAAATTATGTCTTCTGGAATGCCCCTAGACATTTCATAGCTGAATACTGATGATGTCTAGGCAAGATAATCAAAGATGCCAGTGCATTCTGCAGCAAAGAGATCAAATCGTCGCTAAGTTTAAGAATCTCCTGATGATTTTGATGACCGAGCAAAGGCAAACGCATCTCAAGTAACAAAACTACATGAGTTCCGTCGAGAAAACATCAGAGAACTCGAAGCACCTACTAGAGACTATTTCAAGTATGACCCTAATGAAAAAAGGAGATATGATGCCCTTAAGGTAGAAACTCTATTCAAATTCTAAAGCACTTATAAAGCAATAAAATGGGGAATCGTTGTAGGTTCAATGTTTGCCTTTCACAGATATTTCAGAACTAGAGACTTGAATGCAGCTGCTCATTGGTTCACTGTAATGTCTTTTGTCAGCTTCTTCAACATATGGGTTTCGTATGGATTACAAGAATTTGTTACTGAATATGGAAGTAGAAAATCCTTATCATTAGCTGCTAGAAATGAGTATCATACTAATGCCTATAAATCTTATTTGAACAATCTTCAGTACAATGTTAAATCGTTAGATGATAAAGTTCAACCAGTTCTTCATAATAGCTAGGCCTTAGCTCTAAATGATTTCATATCTAACTATGATAACTATATAAAGGACAGATTTGTAACTAAAGAGCTTACAAAGGATGAGCTATTTAACAATCTGGTCTAGAAATCACAAAAGAATCCAGATAAATTTACTGAAAGCTAGTTAATACAAATTCAAGTCTTAAGGAAGGATCAATACTCAAAATAGTTAATAAAACAAGTGGAAGATGGACCAGCTTTAAAAGAACTAATATAGCAAGTCTTTGATAATATAGATGCAGTTGATCTCAAGAGCTTCAACTTTGACAAAGATCCAGATTCGTCTTTTAGATCATTATTATGAATAAATAATGAAAGGAATTATTAACTTAAAAATTTTTTGTCTTAATAAATTGCATTTTAAATACAAATATTTTATCAATTAATCAGAAGTATTAATATCTCTATTAACAAGCATTACAGCACGCTTAAATTGTATAAATAAAATAAATCTCTCATTCTTGATTTTCAGATTTACTAATCTTAATATTTAGTTCTTAAGTATCTTTTCCCTCGTTGCTTTAGTCTTCTACAAAGTTGTCAACATCTTCGAAGAATCTTAGTCTATCAAGACCATTCAGATCGTTCATAAGCCTCATACTCAACTGATTATGAAATGTCTCCAAGTACTTTTCAGAATAAGTGTTCAGTAAGCCGTAGAGATCTTCAAACTTTTTATCTGATGGTGGTATATCTTCACCATTTGCTTTTTTAGAAGTGAGTACTCTTATTCCATAGCTGTCCCATTCCAACTCTAAGACATGATCCTCGAGGGTTTATATTGTTAAGGTTGAGCTTATCCCTGGAATAATCTCATGAAATTTTATTGAGTGCACGAAATTCAAATCAATAAACTCCTAGCACTCTTTTTCGAAATTGAAAGTCTCGTCTGGGAAATTTTAATGATCCATTAATTACTGAAAATTCATTATTATATTTGAAGAATAATATTTAATTTCTAAAAAATTAAGACAGCAGTGTTGTGGGGTTTTGGGGTTTTGGGGTTTTGGGG